AGTGGAGGAGAATAAGAGGCCTCAGCTCCCATCATGTTGCTAAGGTCAAATTCAGCAGCTATGTTGAGTCATTTGAAACTTTCTCTTTCTCTTTCTTTTGATTAAATCCTTTCAGGAATTAGAAGTCCAACTGGTATAAAATATCCACCAACAATATATACTACATCAGAAAACAGTCCTTGAAAAAACAAAGGGCTATCTGAAAACTCAAAATATACGTGGACATTTATGACACTTAAGAGAGTAAATGGATATTTGTGGTGATTGCAGACAATCCAAGAAATGATAGGTTATGTGTTCCAAGTAGGATTTATAATGAAGAGTTTTGATCTATACTTCAGACACCATATAGAATACACACACACAATTCCAGATGGATCCAAGTCAAGTATGATGTATTGATATCATACTCTGAAGCAGGGTAAATCTACCTAGATGACAGAAAACATATATTAGCATCTAAATGGAATGTTTTCAATTCTTCTAATTGCACATTAAGTTCCTTTAAACTCCTTCTTGCAACTGATAGTGTAAACAAGAGTTAAAATGATTAAAAGGAATAATTGATAATTTGAAATAGGAAAAAAGGTCCAAAGACAAAGGAGTGAAGGGAGGGGAAGGGGAAAGGAAAAGAGGGAAAGGAAAAACTATGAGAAAAGAAACAAAATGGAAATGAAGTCTATGTAAATAAGGAAAGATGGAGGGGGTGATGGGCACACAGGTAATGGGGGAAAAAATAAGAACCAAGATACATCATGTACAGGTACAAACACCCAATGATAAATGTAAATGAATCATATACCTAAAATGTACCAATAAAATTAATTTTAAAATAAAATAAAATTCACTTAACACACACAAAAAAATTTGATACTCAAACTCATATGAAATTGTTACAGGTCCTGTATAACCAAAACAATATTGAGAAAGAAAAAGTTGGAGGATGTGCTCTCATCCACTTCAAATCTTACTATAAAGCTATAGTAAGGGAGATAGTGTGACAATAGCAAAAGAATAGACATATAGAATGAGGGAATAGAATTCATAATCCT